TCCTCCAAGAAATTGACTCCGAAACCATGTTTTAAAGAGGTAGCAACCTAACATCAACATCGATACTAAGATGTGTGCTTATATGCTTTCCAAAAATGCGAAAAGCGCAAATGCTAAATCATGGTGCATATCTTCATTGCAACCACCAATTACTCCACTTGCAAAATACAGCTTTAAGAGTATAACAGATTCATCACTAGTTTAAGAGAGCGCATACATATTTATAGAAGAGAAAGAGGTCATATGCATTTACATCACTATATGTTGGACAGAGCAATACGTTTCCTGTGCCACTGATAAAAATGAAAATCAAGTCTAATCATAGGTTTCAACTACTACACCACACCTAGACTTGCGTGTTTGGTAGAACCGGGAAAGAAAAATAGACAGGTCATGACCAATCTTATCAGATAAATAGCTTCCACTGGTAAGGAGTAACTAGGCAGTCAGTCAGTCCATATGACACAGAGATAAATAGTTATACAGTAACTTCTTGCTTATGGTCAAACCATACATAATCACAACAGTTTTGTTGTTGCCCTGACACATGTCAACTGTTACCCTTATACTTCTGAAGTTGCAAATATACTCTTTCAGCTGGAGTAAATAGATATTTTTTTCTAACTTCTATTTACGCGTCTGAAGTTTGATATGATACAGATAACAATAGCATCTTCAATTGTCAAGCATAAAGTGGACATGTCAATTCAACGCTCTCTACAACCCCAGCCTAAGAATCGTGATACAGACTTCAGCTCAAGTTGTGAAGTCTGGTATATTTTAACTTTTAAGTTGCTCCAGGACACAGTTACCTATGTGGAACAGAAAATGGTGGGCACACAGAAACATGAGACATTCTTCTTTCAACCTAAGGAGCTAGGAGGATGCTTGGATGATACATCAGCAATGGTGGAAAGTGGCAGGACAATCAAATCACAGTGCGCATCACATTACATTTCCTCCCTACCCAACCAACCAAGGCAAACAAAACAAGCTGCACATTTCCTCTCTGCCCAATCAATGCACGGAGGCACCAGTCTACTGAATCGTGGTAACCTGGCGGTAATTTTCGAGTGAATTACATCAAGAAAATACCAGTTTTGGCCATAAACACACAGTTTATGAGCTCAATAAATAAGATGATATGCGGAATCTAGAGGAGTGATGAAGTAATTGGAGAGCGTTTCTATACTAAATTGCCCTAAGCTCTGCTCGCACGTTGACCAAAAGGACATTGTGCCGTATCGTACCATTAAATGCATTCGGAGGGACTCGCCGGGCTTGAACTCTTGGCACCGCCATGGGTGGGGGGAGCTCGAGGTCCGCCGCCACCTCCACCTGCCCAGCCTCCGTCCGTCGGGTCCGCCGCCAGCCCAGCAATCTTCGCCCTCCGGTGACCGCTGCGAGTGGAGAGGGGGACCGGAGAGAGAGGAGGCTTGAGAAAGTTGGGCCAGTTAGATGGGCTCCGTGTTTTGAGCCCAGTATCAAAACGACCCTGAAAGGCTGAAAAAGATGTGTCCCCTAAAAAAATGGGGATTTCCTATTTGGCGCATATGCGCCCGCTTGCCAACCGGCGCCTGCAGCGCTCGCGCGATGGGCCGGCCCAATAGTTTTTCTTCTTCTCTGTTTTAATCAGAGACTTCTTCTCTGTTTTAATCAGAGAAAGAAGAGTGTTAGCTGTGATTCGAACCAGGGACCTCGCGCACGTAGTACCGCAGGTGCAACCAGAACGCCAACACACCTTCTTTGTTTAGAATGAACTTTTACTTTCTTTTACGTTTTTCCTTTTTTCCTTTTTCTGTTTTCCTTTTTACCTTTTTCTGTTTTCTGTTTTTCTTTTTCTGCTTTTTCCTTTTTCTTCTTCCTACTTCGATGAACATTTTTTTCAAATTGATGAACTTTTTTCAGATTTGTGAACTTTTTTCAAATTCGATGAACTTTTATTCAAATCCGATGAACTTTTATTGAATCTGATGAACTGTTTTCAAAATTGATGAACTTTTTTTCAAAATTCGATGAACTTTTATCAAATCTGATGAACTTTTTTTCAAATTTAATGAACTGTTTTCAAAAATTGATGAACTTTTTTTCAAATCTGATGAACTAATTTCAAAATCGATGAACTTTTTCTAAATTCGATGAACTTTTCTCAAATCCAATGAACTTTTTTTTTCAAATTTGTGAACCTTTTCTCAAATGCGATGAACTTTTTTTCATAAACGGGATGAACTCTTTTCAAAATCCATGAACTTTTTCCAAATTCGATGATTTTTTTTAAATCTATGATTTTTTTTAAAATTTGATGAACTTATTTTCAAATTCAATGAACTTTTGTTCAAGCTATAAAGTAAAACATACAATATTCAAGAAATTCGAAAATACAAGTTATAGAGTAAACTGTATTATTTTGTGCAATAAATGGCGCGACTCTTATGGTTCTTATATAGAGTTCGCATTTGATTTGAGTCACTGGCCATGCGATGCTGTATTGGTTAGCTGAAAAATCCCGCTGCCTAGCTGCTTGAGTTCGAGTCGTGGTTCTACCACATTTTTTCTTTCTTTTTTCACGCGGCCTGCTCGCTCCGTCTGTGGGCCGGCCCACTTGGCGCTGCCAGTAGGCGCCGGTTCGCGTCCCCGGCGCCGAACGCGCCGAATAGGAGCTCCCAAAAAAATGACGTGTGGAAAATCATCTCTTGTGCAACTCGCCTGTCAAAATATATAGTGAGCCCATAAACATAGCATTTCCCCCAAGCCCCCTTCTACTCCCGAGCTCATTTGAGCTCGGGATGGACAGTAAATTCTAAAGAAACATGAAAATAAATTCGAAAAATTCTGAATTATTTTGGTGCAAACTTTGACAAATGTTCTCGGTGCCTACAAATTTTCATCCTGAATTAACATTCGTGGAATTCATGGCAAAAAAAAACACTCCAAAATGGTTTAAAAAATAGCTTTTTTTAGTGTCGATTTTGTTTCTTTTACCACGACTTCCGTGAATGTTATTTCGGGATGAAAATTTGCAAGCACTGAAAAAGTTAATCGAAGTTTGCACAAAAAAAAATCAGATTTTTTTAATTTATTTACTATTTTTACTGTTCATTAGGGAGCATATGAGCTCGGGACTAGAGACTCTGCATCTGCATTTCCCGTTCTATATTAAAGCATGCAAGAATGAATGTCATATTATGGATTTGTACAAGATAAAAAAAAGTGTAGAATTTTGAGCTTTTGAATGTTTTGTGAGAAAATAACACAAAAATTATGGAGGAACTCAGAAGAAAACGCCAGACATATTTCACTGGACTTCCATAAACAAAATAAGGGCTCCTTTGATTCACAGGATATTTATAGGAATTTTGGAGGATTATAATTCTTAGAAAGTATTTCTATGTTGGTTGTTTGATTCATAGAATTGAATCCTATAAGATTTTTCGCTAAGGTTTCCTTTACACTAGATTCCATATGAATTTTAGCACCCACTCAGACCTCTTTGAAAGAATCCTTCATTTTCTCATATATGACATTCCCATCCTTTTTCCTATTCATGTGTTTTTCAGTCCTGCATATGAAGGAGGTCCTAAACTTTTGAGCTCATGTGGAATTCATATGAAATTAGGGAATGCTTCTTAGGAATTCAGAAACTCTAGTCTTTTGACCAATTGGTTCTACAAAAGAATATTCTACAACTAAATAATTGCCCGTGTGTTACAGTGGGATATAAATATTCTGATACGTTAGCTCATGATTTACTTGTGATTATGTAAGTAAATGGTTTTATCAAAGGTCTTTATCAAACCCTGCCCGTGAGACCTACATAAGTTATTTTAGAATTTTATATAGTAAGAACGTATTGGCTTACCAAAGAAAACATAATTATATTTGGCAAGTCAATAAAAAATAGGACAATTAAAATGTTTTTAACATAAAAAATTGAGGAAAAAACTAGAGATAGGAGAAGAAAAAATAAAAATGAAAAGAGGGAGGGGAACGTACCAACGCTTGAGCTAAGCGCTCTGCTCGGCGGAAGAGAAACACTATTTCTATAAAGATTACCAAGCAACTCTATTCTTCCGATGGTCGCTAAAAATAGTTTTTTCCTTCTAAAAAACACACAAAACAAGGGTGCTGGAGACGGTTTTGAAAAGGACCAGTATCAGCTTGCCATGTGCTCTCATGGAGGTCACTTGAACACCAGAGATGATAAAAATTACAATCAGATTGACGGACCACCTAGCGATGAATACAAGCACTGGAGCGAGGTGAGGTCCTCCGCACCTCCCGCCGGCAGGGGCCGAGGTCCCTCCGCACCTCCACGGCCCAAAGGCAATCTTAGGCGGTGGCGCCAACGGGAAGGAGGAAAACTTTGAAGTTTCGCGACGTCATCTCCCCCTTTCCTTCCTGTGAGGCTACATCAAGTGTCGATTTTCTAGATGTCATCTTCCTCCTTCCTTTCCTCAAGCGTTCAGAACAAAGTAAATCAAATGATATACTCCCTCCATTCATTTTTTGTAAGACCGTTTAGACATTTAAGATAACACCCAAAACAGTTTAATTTTAGTTGTCTAAAACGTCTTATAAAAAAGAACAGAGGGAGTACTATATTTCTCGTTATTGTTCTCAGAAGGATTGCACCAGGTGTGCATTCTCATATGATATTGGCACGGCGATTCAAATGCATTATTGGTAAGATAAGCGGAACATGGGGGATGTATACTGGTACATATCTAAATGCTTAGAATTTGAGAACACTACAATATTTACAAGCACGACCAGGAAGTTGCTCCAATCAAGTTCCAGAGTTGCGCTCTTGTTTCACTTTCACCTCCATAGATCCAGAGTTGCGCTCTTGTTTCACTGTTCACAACTAGTTTTCCTACATAACCTTTTACTTTACCACTTCTAGTCAGACTCTAACGAGGCCTATATACTTGCAAAACTGTACAAGCCATCAGAATAACACCTGGCATCAAGTCTCAAGGATTCCGAAAAGTTGTGAACAGTCACAAATTCCAAATTCCAGGTTTCTCGGTGCGGCAGACCGTGAGCATCTCATCATACTTGGAAGCATTGACGAAGCCCCACAACTGCGTCGGAAAACGTTGTTACTCTCAAGTTTCATCATGAGGAAACACGGATGCTGAGAATCGACCGATATGCATAGTATTATCATGTACCTCAACATGTTTAACTTCAAAGTCCTGGGAAAGTGCCAGGCATGGGTTGTTAAACGTTTCTGAGGTGGAACTTGAACCATTCAGGCTGCACAGATCAAACAGCAAAAGTGAACATGTGACTCACTTGATCAACAAGATGTTAAGCTGATGACACTTGCAAAGAAGGGTGTAAAAACACATGCTTGTGGCTAAAGTTGGCACCCGGGCACATTAACATGAGAACGAAATAAAATTTATGTGTGACAACGTGGAAAGATAGGTCAGAGATTAGTAGATTACAGGTCTTCACCAAGATAAAGTGCAAAGTGACCACCACCTCCCATTGCCAAATACTCAGGGGAGCAAAACGTGAAATAGTTATTAGCACCTGCAATTGGAAAATTTTAACCGTAATCCTAAGGAAGCAAGAAAATTAGGAGCACAAATTTGACATTCACTTCTAGAAATACGAGGGGTCCCCACAATAAGGCAATAAAGTTACCACAACATTTTCTCTAAAGAAACATCAATTACTATAGGATCACAACAACATATGAAAATGTATTAATCTTCATATCTTCTGTAAAGGCACATCTCATGGTTTGTACTAGGGAGTCACCTTATTAGTGCTAATAGCACATATGGTTGTTACAAAGATGGAAACTAATGCAGAAAAGAGTGTATTTCTCTTATGCAATGCAAATCCTGTCAAAGTAAAAGAGAAGTACCTGTTTGACGATATACAACAGGGCGACCAGCTACATTGGTGAACACGAAGCAATTCTTGTTCCCCTGAAAGATGGCGTAAACACAATCAGTGTAACCCTGTAAGGTAGAATACACATCAAAGAAACACCATAAGAATATGTGTGGAAGTGAAACCTGATACTTCCTTTGCATGATCGGCCGCAAAGGGGCCTCTACCAAACCACCAAAAACTGCTCCCTTTTTATCCCCAATTATCTGTCAAAGCACAAATTAGGAGATGGAAGTGAGCAACTAAATTATACAAAAATCAAGAGAAGCATTGTTCTAACCAAAACAAAAACAGTACCTACAGTACTGTATGTACAGTAATTTCTATAGCTGTGTTCAAAAAAAGTAATTTCTATAGCTGAAACCCCCAGGATTGCAGTGTCTAAGGATGAAATCAAACGACACAAAAGAGTTGAATTGTTTGCTTAAAGTCAGAAGCTAAAATTTATATGTAAACATATCATCTTTTCTTCTCGTGATGCATGCAGCAACTTACTGACCTCAATAGTGCTCACAAACAAATTGGAACTAGCCGTCAGAAGCTAAAAATATATATGTAAACATATCATCTTTTCTTCTGGTGATCCATGCAGCAACTTAACCTACTGACCTCAATACTGCTCATAAATAAATTGGAACTAGACAATGAGCTTCCCTTGTGTTCACGACTGCATGATGTTTAGTTTCCAAACAACCTGTTCCTTCACTCCAGAGAATTACGTAGACAGAAATTCAGAAATTGTATAACAACAATGTAATATCACCAAAGTCAGCGAAATTTTAAGATGCATGTATGCAGTGGCGGAGCCAGAAAAAATGGGTCAAGGGGGGCGAGAGCTGTTAAAACATGTTGGAGAGGGCCAAACAGGAGGAAAATCCACTTTTAACAGCAAATAATGACTGACTTTACACTGTTTATCATCAAAGTAGCAAATCTC